GGCGCTGCGGCCAGCCTGGGTGTGAATCAGCAGCGGCCTGGCGTCCGGGAAGCAGCGCCCGAAGTCAGAGCGGGCACCAGACAAGCACCCTTTGTCCCTTGCCGCCCTCCCCACGACCCCGCTGACCCCCACCCCCAAGTAGGGTACAGGCTGGGTAGAAGGCACGGCCTTTTGGCGCCAGCGATTGCTGACAGTGGGGAGGCAGGGGAAAGGGCCACAATGTCTCCCAACTGCCAGCACCTACTGGATCCCAGACAGCTGAGGTTCTACGGGGTGCAGGAGGGGTAAGGAACCCAGGCTCAGTGCAATGGCCCTGACCTGGACCTAGGCAGCTCTGGGACTCCCACCTCCAATGCCTGTAACCCAGGCATCCCAGCTCCCCAGGCTCAGCCTCCTGGGTAGAAATGCTAAAGTCCCCTGGTCTTATGCACACAGGTCCTGAACCTGATTCTGCTGCCCCCAGCCCCCCAGCCCAGGTCCAGAACCTCACTGTCACCACTTCCTGGGAACACTGGCCTGAACCACAAGACAGCTAATCTTTTGCTGAGCCCTAAGCAGGGTTGGGGGTGGGGGGGTGGAGACAGTGTCTCATGGGAGAGGCAGCTCTGTGCCCTCCTCATTCCCACTGGCTCTGGGTCCCTATGGGACCCTAAAGGTGCTATAACCATGGCTTCCTTCCAGTGGCGCCTCAATGCCCTGGAATGACGCAGGGAGGTCTCCCCCAACCTAATTCAGTGCAGAGGCTGAAAGACTAAGGAGGAGGAGCCCCTCCCCTGCCTATGTGGGGCCCTCCCTCCATCTGCCCCTCAGTACATTCCCAGCCACCTTCAAGGACTTGGGTCAATATTTGCTAGAAGTTCCATCAATGCTGGTTCCTCTTCCTGTGCAAAGAGGTGGTGCAACTGGAGAAGAAGGGGTTAAGCCACAGGGGCACCAAGGGTAAGCAAGGGTGCACCCAGAGGTCAAATCTTTCCTTAAAGTCAAAGGTATGGAGTCAAGGTCACCCAGGGGTCAGAGGGCACACTCCTGGACAGAGCTGGACAGGATTGGGAAATCCAAAGGATCCATATCCTTCTATAGGTAAGGGCCGGAGAAGGGTGGCTACTGGCTTGGGTCACAGGGCATGTTAGGGGCATAGGCCTGACTGGGACCCTAAGCAACATGATTCACTGGGACTGAGTTTTCTTGCTGCCTGGAGGGACTGAGAATTCTCTATCTTTTTATTTTGCAAATGTTCGCTGAGCTCTTCTCCTGTCCTGGACCCAACATGGGGGTCCTAATGGCTCTCAGGGTGCTCACAGTCTAAAAAAAATAAGTCACCAGAGAAAAGCGATATTTGAAGAGATGTGTTACAATGACCATTTTTTACAAAAAGGAATGGAATAAAGAGTGTTGGGAAGTGTGGGAGGTCCTGTGAAGGCGACACTTGACCTGTGACCTGATGGAAGAGAGAGCACTAACTGGGGGAAAATTGGGGGGAACTGCACTCCTGCAGAGGGAACAGCAAACATACAAATACCCTGCCTGATGTGTTTGGGGAAACGGCTGCAGTGGCTGGAGTAGTGAGTGGAGAGGAAGGGGAAGAAGAGGGTGGAGAAGAGGAGGGGAG